AATTAAGCTAGTTAGCAATAATAGCTTTAAACTCTTTTCCTACTACCTGCAAAGCGCACGCACTAGGTACATTACACTAATTATAGTAAAATACAGCAAAGTACTATACTAGTTTACTATATTGCTTTTATTTTACAGTATAGGGACTCTTTAAGTAGACTGTAATAGCGCTAGTACTCTTAATTATTAGCAATAAGGAAGAATGTATATCTTTAAATATATAAAATAAATAAAAAAAGTAAAAAAAAATTTAACAAAAATAGATAATAGCTCCTAATACTAAAGTAGGTAGATAGCTTAGAGCGACTAGTAATTACTACAATTCTAGGGTTACTATAGTTTAAAAACAGGTTTTGCAAAAATTACTAAACTTTGCAGCTACTAGCTTTAGGTACTACCTACATTAAATATAAACATTATTTTTGTTCTATCCTAATGTCCCCCCTTACTAAAATAAGGGGAGAGAAGCTAATAGAAAAAATTATACCTAGGGTATTTGGGCCCCCTTTCTTTAAGCAGAATATAAAGTGTGCCTAATAAAGCGTTGCTTGCAATTCCAAGTAATAGTAATAATAATATAATTATAAGTTATATCTGCGCTAGCTTTACTTCTACTTATACAAGCAGCTCTAGCTTTACCCTTACACTACATTCTCTAGTTATAAAAGAATTATCTAGCTAAAGACTTTAAAAAAAAAAGCTATAGTTTTTTATAAAAAGCACCTAGCTTTGTTTGCATTCTAAATTACAATAACTTCTAATACTTCTCTACTTATAAGCGCTTAATATTTATTTCTAAATTAAATACTGTAATTTTTATTATTCCCGCAAATAAGCGCACTTTGCAGCAGTTAACCTGCTTTTCCTACTCTTCCTGCTTTTTTTGCTTTGCCTCTAAAGCTACAATTTTTTCTTTAATTGCTGTAGTTTCTGTTTTAATCCTGTTTTATTTATTATTTAGCTCTACTATAGTTTTAACTAATTTATTATTTATTATATTAGCATTATTAGTAATATAAAGACTTTTATCTGCTTCTATATTAAGCTTGCTATTTAGCATTGTCCCTTCTACTACATGCTCAAAATCGTTAGTTAAAAAGCTTAAAAAAACTTTGCTAAAGTTACTTTTTTTATTATTTTAACTATTATATACTTTTTTTTTTCTAACTGTAGTTTTTAATTGCAACGTAGTAATTTATAACTTTTTAATTTTTTTTGCTTTATCTCTAAAGTTGCAGCATACAGTTTGTAGCTCAATTTTAAAAGTTGTAATAATAAGTATATTAAAGCTTATTTTATTTTAATTACTTTGTGTTTCTATATACCCTGCTATACTTTACAGTATTTGCAGTACTTTGCAGCACTATACTATACTTTACTATACTTTATAGTATTTGCAGTACTTTGCAGCACTATACTATACCCTACAGTACCCTACAGTACTTTATAGTACTATACTGTACCCTATAATACCCTACAGTACTATGCAGTATTTTGCAGAAACTTGCAAAATATCTAAATTAAACTTAATTACCTCTTATTAGAGCAAAAGAATAAAAATAATATGCACTTAATACTTCTATAATTTAAGCCTAACCCTAAAAAGCTACAAACTACTTAGGTCTGCTACTACTAAGCTAAGTAGAAAATACTGCAGCATACTATAGCAAAATACAATTTTATAGCAACTCCTAAAGCTTATTCTAAAATAAACTAAAGCTATACTAAGCCGCGTAATACAGCTAAAAAGCAACCCAAGCGCTTTAGAAATTATTTAGCTAAATGCAAGCTAAAAAGTGCTGCTATATCTGCGCAAAAACACTTCTACTTTATTTTATAAATTAGACGCTTTACAAATTACGCACTAAAAAAATCCTGCAAACTCCTAAGCTAATAAAAATACTAGCACGCAATATTAAACTCCTAAGCCAATTAATAATAATTACGTAAAAGGGCAGTAATCTAAAAGTTTTAAAAAGTTTTTAGGAGTTTATTCCTATATTGCAATTAGCTTAAGAATTTAAAAATTTTTAATAGCGCTACGCTAGCGCGCACTAAGCCTGTACTAGCTACCTAGCCTAAATTTTACAAAGTATTTAATTTATAAAATAATTTCTACTTTTATGTACGCATTTAGTACATACAATAGTTACTTAAATAAACAAGCTTCTACAATAGCGCAAAAGCCCTACAGTAAACAGATGTTATTTACTATATTGTCCCTAAAAAAAAGAAAGCAGGCTAAGCTAGGCTAGGCTAGACCCTAGTTATTCTAGAGTATAAAACAGAAAATCTGCTTATTTCTAAATAAAAATACTATAAACGCCTAGATAGATACGCTTTAATCTAGTAAACAACTAGCCTAATAATATATAGTACTTTAGTAACTTATGTAATGCTTTTTTTAAATAATAAACTAGCAACTATAAAAAAATAGTTGTGTACTGCTTAAGCTTCGCGAGGCAGCAATAAATTTTAAGTTTTAATATTATTATTAAGTTAGGCACTAGCTAGCTAGTACACTTGTTTAGAAGTACTATAAGCATAATAAAAAAAAAGAAATTATAATACACTCTACTAGCTTTATTCCCAAAAAATAACTAAAATTATTATTGTGTATAGATACAGAGTACAAACTAGAAACGCAATTTTAGTTATAGAAATTTAGTAGCTTTACTATTTACATTACCTTGTACTTATTTCCTTATTCTAGGAATATTAGCACTAATTAAGCACCCAATAAATTTAAGTAATAAAATTAAAAAATAAATTATAAGCAGTAGGCTTGCAGAGTTACGCAACTTAATAAGTAAAAGTTATGCTTTTATTATATATGCCTAAAAGTATCTAAAAAGCTCTATACTACTTTTTTCCAAAAAGCTAGCTAAAGCATTTTAAAATAATATTTTTTAGGATTCTCTAAGTAGTAACTGGGCCGCGCAGTTAAAAAAGTCCTAAATAAAAGTATTTTTGCAGGCAAGCACTTCTATAAAACGCAGCAATATTTTAACAGCTTTAAAAATTATAAGTTAAACAATAAAAGCAGCATTCTAGTTTGCAATATAGAAGAAATAAAGTATTAAAATTTTAAAAAAAATAGCTACTTATTAAAGTAGTTTTATATATAAAGAAATAACAAACTGCATTTTATATAAGTCCCTATTCCTGTCTAGCAAGTTTGCTAATAAATATAGTAGCATAAATAAATTAAGCAAAAACGTCCTTGCATAAGTATTTACTATCTACTTCCTATACTTTTAAATATTTAGGTAGTAAAACTAAATAGTTGTACACGTCTACAAGTAAGCTTATAATAATACTTAAAAATATAAGTAGGCTTTTAGGCGTACTAATTAATAGCTCTATCCGTTTAGTACAAAACTAAAAATAGCTCTAGCAATGCAGAGTTTATTTTTCTTTATCCCAGCTAGTATAGTAAGCTAAAATACAGTTAGAATAACCCTAGATGCTTAATATAATACAGGAAGACAGAAAAGAAAATATAGAAATAGCAATAGTAAAAGTAGCTATAAAGCTATTATTTTAAAAATAAACAGCACTAAACGCATTTTGCAAAAGTAAATATTAGAAAATAGCTGCAAATATTATAAAACAACCTAGTATTAAACCGCTAGTAATTAGGGTTTTATTGCCTATTAGGAAGCAAGCAGGGTCTAAAAAAAAAAATATTTATATAAATTCCAGCACTCTTACTTTTATACTAACTCTAATTCTAGTATACTTTAACTAACTCTAAGTTTACAGGGCAGAAGTAGAAGTAGCAGACTAGTTTGCAGCCCCTCCTAAAACTTTGCTATAAAGTGCAGAAAAATGCAAAGCACTTAAGTGCTTAGTAAAAAAAAAAAAATTATATATATATTAATAAAGGGCACGTGCTATCGCGTGCCTCTAATTACCCAAACAAAAATAAAGTACTAATTAGCTTAAATTGTAGGATATTGCAGTATTTCGCAAATACTATTGCACGCCTACTTATAAACTAAGTATACTATAAAAGTAACTATGCTGCTTACTGCGCGCTTAACATATAAATACACTATATTATAGCTAGAAAAAATAGCAGAAAGCAAAATATTGCAAAATTGTGCAGCTTTTTGCACAGTAGTACTGCTACTAAGCTACTTATAGAAGAACTACTCCTAATACTATAAGTGCAGTTTAGGGAAAAAACTTTTATATAAATTCTAGCACCCTTACTTCTACACTAACTCTAACTTTATTTTACCCTAACTAATTCTACTCTGCAGGCAGCGCTGCTGCATTTAAATTTGCAAAATGTAAAATTATTTGCCTACATTTATTTACTCTATTATAAAATTTTTATATAGTTGCAGCTTTTATTTCCTACTACTTTTGCGCCTGCAAAGCAGCTTATTTCTAGGCTACTGCTACGCGCTTTTTAGCAAGCAACTGTACTAGCTTTGCTTTTTCTACAATTTTGCTTTTATATAATATTACTGCTGCTTCTAGCTCTTTTATTTCTTTTTTTTTTTGGAATTATTTAATTTTATTTTAGTATTGTTTTACTGCATTGCGCGCGCAAGCTTCCTAAATAGTTCTTAAACTCTAAAATACTATAGCACTATAAAACGCTTTGCGCTATTAAAAATTTAAAAATTTATTATTACTTTATACTTCTTTTTAATTAAAAGCGCGTCGCGGTAACTTTTGTTTTTATAGTAGAAAAATTTATTTTGCACCTAAAAAAAATGTAGTACAGTACTTAACTATTTAGCTTTAACTTTTGCTTTATTTTTTACAGCAATATTAACTAAATTGCAAAGCTAGTTCCAAGTATCTCTATTACTATTTTCTCTACTTATTAATTCCTAATCCTTCTATTGTAGTTGTATTTTAAATTATTGCAATATAATATTAGTATTAAGTAGCTTAATACTTATAGCTTCGAACGCGTTTCGTATATTATAAGCAGCCTAAAATAATAGAAAAAAGTTGCTTTTATTTATAAAAATAAAGCTTTAACTATAATAAAAGTAGTGCGCAAGCTTAGTCAAATAAAATAGTAGTAAAAAAAGCACTATATCTAAAAGTTGTATGCTGTAAATTAAATAAAAAAAAAATACTATTAATAGAATCTTTCTAGCGTCGCAAAAGTTTATAAAATTAGTAGTAAAATAACTGCTATAGCTATTAAAAATAAGGATTTAGTAACTTGCCTACGCTTTGCTCTTTATATACTAATAAAAAACCTATTTAAGCTAGGCCAAACCAATATTATTATTAAACTATTCTAATTAACTTGCTGTAAAAAAAACCTAGTATTTTCCTACTTCTATATTGCGCAACTAAGCATTGCAAAGTTTTTCCTTTTTTTTAAAAACTATACCTTAATATACCGCACTCCTATCTGTACAAATACATACTAAAATTATTACTTACTTTTTATTACTATCCTGCATAGCCGCTAGAACTTATTTTTGCTCCCAAAATTGCTTTAAAAAAACTTATTTAAAATATAAAGTAATGCTAACAAAGAACTCTTTTTTATTCCTATTAAAAATATAGCGCGCGTTAATCTTGTACTCTTAGATTTTAAAATAAAAAAAGTTAAAGTACAACCTGTAGCTATATAAATATTAGCTAAAAAGTATTTGCAATTAACTCTAGTAGTATATTTAAAAGTAAAAATAATAAAACTAGTACATTAAAAACTAACTACGTCAACAATATAAAAGCAAATATTTTTATTATAACTTTTATATATAAACGCCCGCAAGCAAGGAAACTTTATAAATACTGCACAAAAACTAATTTTAGTTATAGTCTAAAATGCTTAAAATATTAATAAATTGCGTTTCCCCTTAGTGCGGGCGCGCTAAAGTAGTTAAATTTAAATTAAAACAAGTTGCAGGTACGCAGTACAAAAAATTTTTAGTATATAACTATAAATTAAGTTCTGCAATTGTATTTTAAATCAGATTATTAAGCATAAACATATTGCAGTTATTAAATAACCTATTTATATAATTTACTTTAGTACGCTGCTTAAAAACAAAAACAACTTCCTAAAATAATAATTTAGCAGTTTTATAAGGGGCATAGTAATACTTTAAAAGTGCTAAATTTAGGAGCAAACCTGCACGCATAGTATACAGCAGAATATATATTATATATACATAAATATTTTATAGTAGGGGGGATTAGCAGAGTTAGTTTACAAGAAATTAAACAAAAGCCCAATTTAATAGCATAAAAACCCTTTTCTTAAGTTACTATACTACTTAATAAAGCAAAGTTATAGTGCGTAGTGCGTAAAAAAAGCTACTTTTATATCTACAAAATTGCTTTCTAAGAAAAAGAAACTTATTAAAGTAACTACTATTTTTCCCAAAAGGTTTCTTTAGTTACAAGCTAGCTAATAAGTAGAGTATTTATATAAAATGCCTAAGTAAAAAAAGCTTTGCTACTAGTAACTCTTCCTACTAAATAATAGTCCTACCCCAGTTTCCTACTTGTTAAAATATACTAAATAGTTTATTATTTAACAGAACTACGCTTAGAGCTTAAAAGTAAACTAATAAGCCTACCTGCCTCTACTTTAAAGCAAGCTAAATTTTTTCTAATACTATTTTTATAATTTAAGTTGCAACGCCTAGCTATAGGCTAGGAAAAAAACCTAACTAGGGGCTTGCGCTGTTTCTATACTACTATAATTAAAAATTAAAATTAATAATAATACTAAATATCGCGCCTAGATTCTTAACTACGCAAAGCTAATTTACTTTTACTACTACAGCCTAAATTATGCTTATTAATATAGTACTAGTAAACTCTATATATACTTAGATTATAGACACAAAATCTGCCAGTATAATAGCTAAACCCTATACTCTCTAATCTAAAAAAGAGGCTAAAGCAATAGCTTTTACGCAGAAATAAGTATAGCAAAACTACGCTTTTTTGCACTCTAAGAAAGCCTGCACGCCTATTAGCTCTTATTTAAAAATACTCTATTTTATACCCAAAACCCTATTACTATAAAAAACCTAGTTATTTTTTATAACTATACTAAAGTACAGGCTGCAGCTACAGAAGCTTAGAAGAGCTACTATTAAGTTTAAAAACTTAAAAGTTACTTTACTAGTTAGCATAAAATATAAGTAGCTGTATATTTTATTTTAAAGCTTTTTAAATAGCATAGCTAAGCTCTTATATACTAATTAGATATAGTAAATAGTGCGTTAAAGCACAACTACCTTTAGCTTAATAAATATGCTTGTCTAGTTTGCTATAAGCCGCAAAGCAGCTACTTAATATATACCCTATATATATAGCCTAGTACAGAAGCCTTATTTTATAAAAACACGCAGGTATTTTATATAAATTTGCTAAAGTATAAGCTACAACACATTGTAATTAAAGTTAGCAAGTATAAATAAAAAATTATTATTTTCTGCGCAGAGATCTAGCTCGTTAATAAAATAAAGTTTTTAGCAGTAATATTAATTTTTTATCTAGTTAATAATATATTTATCCTTGTTTATTTTTTCTGCAGCCTAAGTTTCTACTTATACTGCATTATTAAAAGAAAGCCTAGCCGCCTTAAAAGCTCTTATAAGCAGCTTTTTTACTTTTTTCTTAAAAACTTAGTAGCAAATAAGTAGCTAAATTAAAGTTAACAACTATAGCGGCTCTATTAAAGCACAAAAGCCGAGAACTAGTTTACTATACTTATTGCAATATTTAAACTTTTATTAAAGCATTTTAAGGCGCGTAGAACGCATTATTATAAAAGCAGCTGCAATAAATAGCCTAGCTAGATTATTGCATTGCAAGTTAGTAGCAGTATAAAATAAAAAAAAGTACCTAAATACCTATAAAGCAGAATAGTAGAGAATAAAGTAGGAACTATAATATAAAAAAAAAGTAAACTAACGTAAGCTTTATTTAATAAATAAAAAAATATAGTTGCAAAAAACAGCTACAAAAATACGTAAGATATAGGAACTACTTTTTATAATATTACTATAGTAAAGTTGTAGTACGTGCTATTTTAGGCGTAATAGAAAAAAAAGCAAAAAAGTAGATATTTCTAAACTATTTCTAAAAGCTAAAACTTTTAATAAGCAAGCATATTGTATGTTGTACGCTCCTAAAAAAAGCTTTAGCTTATTTTGCAACTAATATTATAAGTGCAAAGCTTTGTATTGCTAGCAAGAAAATAAAAAAATAAATATAGTAAAAATTACAAACTTTACAAGAACGTTGCGAAGCACAAACTAAAGTAGAAAATAATTTAGCTAAGCTATTATAAAAGTATTTACTAAATACTTAGAATAAGCTTGTTTAACTTGTAGTATTATTTAAAAACTCTAATATATATTGCAGTAAACTAAATACAAAAATATTAGTTTTTATAGCATTGCGTAGTAACTCTGAGCTATAGCTAGGAAATAAAAAAGTATAGGCATTTACTAACTGCTACTAGTATTAGGATTGCAGCTAAACTAAGCATTTTTATTTTTAATTTTATCCTACTTGCTATTGCAGTCCTAATTAGTATTAGCACTTTTAGAAATTTTTTTAACTGCAGCTATACTAGCAAATGTATTAGTAAATGTAAAGTTAAGCACTTTACTATTTTTTTTTAAAGTTAAAGAACCTAATTGCACGGCCTAAGCAGAAATAGGGGGAGTTTAATATTTATTTTCTTTCTGCAAGCTGTATAGTATCTTTTTATAAAATTAGGGCTAATAAACCTAGTTTACTAATATAGTAAAATTAAAGAGGATATTCTATTGCGCAAACTGCTCTCTATACTTTAGGTATTTGTAATTCTAATACTATTTTTAAGCTTTGCAAAAGCTAGTTATTATCGCGTATACTAAAGATTAGAAGTATTTCTTTTTTTTATTTTCTGCTTTAACTACTTTTATATTTCCTATAATAACTAAGCTAGCACGCAGTTAAGTAATAGCTAATAAAATTCTTACTATATTGTTTATAAAGCTTAATAAACTAGCTATAGTAGTATTAAAAAAGACAAGCTTAACTTAAGTGCTTTAAATACTATTAATAGTAAAAATCTAAATTTGCTTTGCTTGCTTAGCACGCCTATATAGCGCATTTGTATTAAAAATAGTTTGTATATATTCTACTATTGTATATTAACTAGCTAGATATACAAACATCTGAGCGCTATAGGGTATAGCTATACTAATCTATTGTCCCTTAAATTTTATTATAAAAGCTTAAATAGCAAGAAATAAAGTACAGTAGGCGTATTGCATATTAAAAGTAAACTAAGTAAATTTATTCTTACTTATCTTGCTAGCTATAGAAAAAAAAATGCAATAATTTTACTAGTTAAATAGTACTTTAAAGTACTTTTCTGCTAGCCTAGCTTCGCAACAGTTAACAACAGCAGAGTTAGTATATAGCTAGTCCCTAAAAAAAATAAAATTAATAAAGTTAGTAAGCTTAAGGATATAGTAGTATTGCAAGTTAAGCTATAGCTGCGTTGCGCTTCTAAAAAGCAGGCAGCTATATAGCAACTAAAGCCTCTAGGCGTAAAAGGGAGCACTTATATTTAGGCCAAGAGTTAGCTTAAGCTAGAAAATATTGCTAAAAAAAAAGTATAAAATAAGTATATTTTCTTTTACCTGTATACAGCTATAGCTTACTATATAAAACTTACTAAAAATAAGCATATTAAGCGTAGCGCGTTTTCTAGCTTTACTAGCTTTATTATATAGAATTATACAAGCTTTGCTAGCTTAGTATATACAAGCTTTTGCAACTATATAGAATATTATTAAAAAAATATCTGCACGCTAAGCTACTTCTTAAGCTATATAATTAGCTTTTAGTATTAATAACTTACTCTACTCTAATATTATGTGCACGCTATTAGCGAGCTAGCTAAAAAAGTGCCAGAATTTAGAGAAATAGGTAGTGTCTAAATATGCAATAAAATGCAAAATTCCGCTAGTATTTAGTATACTTGCAAAATTTAGCATTGCTTAACTTTCTAAAAGCGCTTAAACCTAAAAGTGCTTGTTAGACTAGCTACTATATATTTTTTTATATAGCTAGTAGAAGTTAATAGCTACGCAAAGCTCTGCTAGCTAAGTAGTATATAAACTATTTTGCAAACTATTTTGCAAACTATTTTGCAAACTATTTTATAAACTATTTTGCAACT